GGGTTTGATTCCCAGGCAAGGTGAAACGTTAGGCAAGTTTCCTTTCTCCACATGCCTCTGTTTACCAAGCAGTAAGTGAGAACCCAGTTGTTAGTCGATTGGTGGATCGCTTTTTCGGGAACAATAATCCCTTAAAAAAAATTGGTTACTCATTCCATGACTGTTTGTGGCACACTGCTGTGCGCAAATGGCGAAAGTGTTTTGCTCATAAAATATACAGTCAATTCACTTCGTTGAGACGTACTGAAGACATAGTAAGGCGCTATACGTAGGAGTCCTGTAGCTCAGCGGTTAGAGCACTCGCCTCTCAAGCAAGAGACCTGGGTTCGATTCCCGGCACAGCAAAACCTTGGGCAAGTTACCTTAGTCCACACGCCTGATAATCCTCAAAAAAAAATTGGGTCACTTCAATCCACAAGAATTAAACATTAAAATTATGGGGATTTCATATGTCTACAGACACATTGGCAAAGAGGAGAGTAGGAGGTGAGAAAGGGACAGAATTTTCGCATTGTGTGCATAAAGCATCTACTGTCCAAAAAATGTCTGTGTTCCAGTTCCAACATTGACCTGCCTTGCTACTGCACGAGGGTTTGGATTAAGCAGCTGTTGTTGAGCAAGCCTTGTATCTGGCGTTAGACATGGACCTCGAGGACTACTCTTGAACAACAACAACTTGGATTGATATAGCGCCCTCAACGCCGGAAGACATCTCAGGGCGCTACTCTTGATACCAGGTGAATTGACATTAGTCCACTTCTCTATTGGTTATCAAAGATTGGATGTCCCAAAATGTCCTTCAACTATTCACGGTCAAGAGAGAAGTCATCTCCTGAGATACTGCAAAGATTTCCTCACTCTGGCTCTGACCTGCTCAACCTCCCTGGCCTCTCTGTCAAACTCCACCTTGGTGTGAGGTTGAATCATTGTTCAGTGGGTACAGGCTTGGCTACCACTGGTGGTGTGGAGGTATTGGGGCTCATGCAACAGGCCAGTTGAGTGAAAGGGAGGGCAGAGGAGTGGGGTATGAGCAAATCTGGGAGGTATGAGATGGTAGGGGTTGAAGGGATATGTATGTGAGGGTGGGGATCTTGAAATCGATCGTTTCAGAGATAGGGAGCCAGTAAAGTCTGGCGAGCATTGAGATGATTAGCGTGCAGAGTTTGATACAAGAAGAATGGTACAGCAATAATAATAAAAAATATTTAAAAAGTAATAGATCTTATACAATAATGATGACAAATGAACTAATATTATTATATATAAATAATATATTATATTGTGGACCACTCTATCCTCCTCCACCACCTCTTCTCTCACCATAACCTTCGAGGTTCTGTCATTGAATGGTTTAGATCCTATCTCTAACACTGGCTCCACTTTATCTCCACAAAATGCTTCTCCTCCAGCCCACGCACCATCTCTTGCAGTGTTCCTCGGAGCTCTGTCCTCTGTTCTTCTACCTGTACATGCTCCCACTTGGTGACAACATCCGCAGACATGGGGTCAATTTCCACATTTAGGCAGATGATACCCAACTCTATCTCTCTGCCTCCATCCTTGACCCCAGGACCATTGATCTAGCCAACTTTCTACCGTTCATCGACAGCAAGACCGAGGCTCTCCTGATTGGCTCACGCCAGCGCCTCCGCACCCTCAGCACCGGCAGCATTAGCATCCACAGATGCACACTCCATCTCATGAAGCCACTTAGGAACCTAGGCATCATGTTTGACCCTCAACTGTCCTTTCTCCCCCTCATCCGTGCCATGACCCGCTCTGCCTTCCCTCACCTCCGTAACATTGTCCGAGTCTGCCACCGCCTCAGGCCGCCGAAACCCTCATATATGCCTTCATTGCAACCATGTTCCACTATGCCAATGCCCTGCTGGTCGGCCTTCCCAACTTTTCCCTCCACATGCTGCGGATTATCCAGAACTCTGCAGCTTGTGTTCTATCTAGCACCAGATTCCATGACCCAGTCACACCCACCCTCGCCCAGCTCCACTGGCTCCCCATCCCTCAGAGGATCGAATTCAAAATTCTGGCCCTCACCTTTAATGCCTTCCATGATCTTTGCCCCTCCTACGTCTCCGACCTGTAAGCTCCTTCCGCTCAGCAGGCTCCGGACTGCACCATGTCTATTGCCCGACCCACCCCACCATCACGAGTTGGGCCTCCAGCATCTCTGCCCACAACCTCTGGAATTGCATCCCACAATTCCTTCGACTTGATCACTCACTTGCCTCCAGGTCGGGTCCCTGCCAGGGCGGGTCCCTGCCAGGGCGGGTCCCTGCCAGGGCGGGTCCCTGCCAGGGCGGGTCCCTGCCAGGGCGGGTCCCTGCCAGGGCGGGTCCCTGCCAGGGCGGGTCCCTGCCAGGGCGGGTCCCTGCCAGGGCGGGTCCCTGCCAGGGCGGGTCCCTGCCAGGGCGGGTCCCTGCCAGGGCGGTCCCTGCCAGGGCGGGTCCCTGCCAGGGCGGGTCCCTGCCAGGGCGGGTCCCTGCCAGGGCGGGTCCCTGCCAGGGCGGGTCCCTGCCAGGGCCGCTCCCTGCCAGGGCCGGTCCCTGCCAGGGCCGGTCCTTGCCAGGACCCGAGGTGGTTCAAGAAAGGATATGCGATGATGAACTGATACTTGTTAAAAATTTAGGAAAACATGTACAACTTACTGAACTCCCATTTATTTGCTGCCCTGCTAATATCTGTGGCATGAGCAGTTGTACGCTTGGGATAGAGAATATTCAGCCTTGTGTGACTGAAGACCTTGCTGATGTCTTTTCAGTAATGCATTAGCTGAACATAAAAANTTATCTCCAATGTATACAGTGTAGTATCTTGTAATGCTGCTGTTAATGTTGCAGAATTGAAAAAGATGTTGGGATTGTAATTGTGTTGAATTTTTTTTATATTGACTGCACAGATGCAGATTAAATTTGTTGTGCATATAAATATAATCTAAGCCATTTCCTGATGAAAGTAGTACTGTCACATCTATTCCTGGTTTAAGTCGGCAATGAATATTGTTTTGCATAACAGTATATAAGCAATAGGTATTGTTCATTCAGGAGCAATGCACACAAAGTTTGTGATTGAAAAAGGGATCTAGATTCTGATTTCTAAAAGTGAGGTATAAATTGATGCTGACATTTGAAAATGAGTTTCACCCAACCCTCACAATTCCTCTTGTTGTAAAGTTTAATTTGTATTTTTCAGTACAAAGGCCCGTACTTCTGCATCAATCATTCTGCGAGGAGCAAATGATTTCATGTGTGATGAGATGGAGCGCTCCCTACATGATGCACTCTGTGTTGTGAAGAGAGTGCTTGAGTCCAAGTCTTTAGTTCCAGGAGGTGGGGCTGTGGAAGCTGCACTCTCCATCTACCTGGAAAACTATGCAACTAGTTTGGTATGGGTTTAATTGTATTTCAAGATTATTGGGGGAGGGCACTTTTACCGTATGCTTTGAGCTGATTAACCAGGGATTACTGTCCCTATTAATTTGCAGTATTAAAAATTATTTTAAGAAAATAAGTTAAAAGTACTTCATGTATTTAACTGTTGGTTGTCTTTTTGTTTAGGGATCACGTGAACAACTTGCCATTGCAGAATTTGCCCGGGCCATGTTGGTTATTCCTAAGACTCTGGCAGCGAATGCTGCTCAGGATTCTACAGACCTTGTTGCAAAGTTGCGTGCATTCCACAACGAAGCTCAGGTCAATCCTGATCGCAAAACTTTGAAATGGTAAAAATTTTATTGTACTGTGGTCTGCAAAAGATTGTGACTTGAGACCCATTGTTGTCTGAATCAGCGATGAAACTAAATTTGAACATTGTTGCAATTCATGAGCAATCATTGATTTTTGGTGACCTGGTGCCCCAGATAGCAGTAAAGTGCAAAATTGATTTTCTCCATCTTGTTAAAGTAACTTTTATGGCCGAGTTGTCAGAATTCAATCGGAAATTATGAATGTTTTACTAATATTGTAGTGACTGGCTATTAAAACAGTGTTAATCAAATTGACATTTTGCTTGTGCAGGATTGGTCTTGATTTATTGAATGGGAAGCCAAGGGACAACAAACAAGCTGGTGTCTTTGAGCCTACTATGGTTAAAGTCAAGAGTCTGAAGTTTGCAACAGAAGCTGCTATAACCATCCTGCGAATTGATGATCTCATCAAACTTTACCCAGATGAAAAGCAAGACAAAGGAAAGAGTTACCAAGATGCAGTTCAAAGTGGAGAGCTTAATGGCTGAAGCACCTGAGTTCTAAAATCAGCTATTATAATTTATGTTTAACTCTTGGCATCCATCAGGTGCTTCTTGTACTTCTGTTCTAGATTGAGCAGCTTGTCATACTTGTCTGAAATTCAGTGCCACTTGTTTAGTGCTCTGTTTAATTTACTATGCTTGTTTAGTGCTATTTGGCACAAACCGGATTTAAAAGACCTCTTACTTTGTTACCTATAGTCAACTCTTTCAAGTTATTTGTGCAAAATTATTTCCTGTACATTGACAGTTGTGCTTCAAGCTCCTTCAGAAATAAAATGTGACAGTTGTCGAGTGATCAGCCCATCTATGTAGGGAGCTGTTAAGAGACCACCTTAATTTCATGAATAAACGTTGATGTTGTGCTTCTGGTCTTTTCAAATCTAATTAATTGTGTATGTTATTTCATTGTGGACATGATTTCTCCCTCACACAAATTCACTGGGGAAAACATTAATTAAAAATACTACTGGGGAAGGATGTAATAAGGCACTATATCAAATACAAGGATGATTATTATCTCCCCAAATAAGTAACCTCTCTGATTCTTGGTTGCTGATCTTACCATGGGGAATGATAAAATGCTCAAAAGTATTAGGGCAGCATTTGTAAATCAATTAAAGCAAAATTAAAATACAATGAATGTTCCCCTGCTTTCTCACATGTATTCAACCATCTTGCCCTTCTATAAATACTGGCACTTGATGTAATTTGAGAGTCAGTTTACAAGATTCAGCAATGGTACATTGAGCAATTTATTTCATAAAGAAAAAAATGGTCAATCTGAATTGAGAGATAATAGGAAGGAGTTTATGAATTTTAACAAAAGTATGGATTCCACATACACAATATTACTATGATTTCAAACTTCAGTACTTTTAATCAAATATTTAAAAGTTACACTAATTTTCAGAACCATTTTATGTGGACTGAAGTTTTGAATAGTTTTAAGACTACTTGAACTACTTTACACGTTCATTATAAAAACAAAATGCACCTACATTTCATTGGAATCAGGCTGTAACCTCTAAAATAAAAGCTCAATTTTATCCAGTCAGTAGCTTAGCTGCAGAGTATCTTCAGTTCTTGTAGTAAAATTTAGGTGTAATTTATTGCCTTTCAACACACATAGCTATTCCCATTCCACCTCCTATACACAAAGAAGCAATGCCACGCTTTTTTCCTGTTCTCTCCAGTGCGTAGAGAAGTGTAACCAGAATGCGGCACCCAGACGTTCCCAGAGGGTGACCTAAAGCAATAGCACCACCTTGGATGTTTACCTAGAAAGACAAACACAAAAAATGCATTTTTTTAAAAAAAGAGGGAAAACCTTTTCCCTAATTTTCTCCTTACTCCACTGGCCTGCTTCAGGTCCCCTGCCTATCCTACCATCAGCAGTCAGGCTTTCAGCCTATCTGCTCTCACTTTGTGGAACTCCAACGAGAGCCCTATCACCTCAACACTCCCTTACCTCCTTCAAGGTCCTCAAAACCTTCCTCTGACCGGTCATCTTCCTGGCCCCCATCCCTCCCGAATCCAACCCCAGCTTGGATGCAAACCTTCGACTGCAGTGGCTTGGGACATCCTCCCGACATGAAAGGCGCTTTATAAATGCAATTTGTTGTTTTATTACATCCCACATTGACCCATTGGGTGAATCAGGAAGTAAAAAGGATCAATTGCATTTAGTTGTAGTGCCAATTTTTATATCTACATTTCTCACCTTCTCTGGGTTTATACCCAGTTCCTTGACAACAGCTACAGACTGTGATGCAAAAGCTTCATTGATTTCGAAGAGATCAACTTCATCCAGCGTCCAGCCGGCTTTTTCTACCTAGAATAAATAGTAAATCTAAGTCATTACCCTTGAATCTGAAGATGATGGAATGCACAGTGGGTGAATCATTGGTTGAAAAGAAAACAATCTACTTGACCCTACTTGAGGAGGGACACAATTTGACCGCTCCTCAGTCAATGATATCAGCCATGTGAGGAGTGACCGAGCAGACCTTTTCCAAATGGGAAAGGGAGATACCTGGAGTTGAGCCATGACCCCAGTCTCGTCTCCTGCAGGTGCTTAAAAAACAATAGCAGAGTCCTGGGGGCAGAATAGCTGCCAATTCTCTCACTTGCAGGATAGCCCATTCCCAAAATAGGAAACACCATATAAAAGTAGAGTTCCCGGCAAGGGCCGGTCCCGGCAAGGGCCGGTCCCGGCAAGGGCCGGTCCCGGCAAGGGCCGGTCCCGGCAAGGGCCACCGGTGGTGCTTCAAGAAAGGATATGCGATGATGAATTGATACTTGTTAAAAAGTAAGAAAAACATGTACAACTTACTGAACTCCCATTTATTTGCTGCCCTGCTAATATCTGTGGCATGAGCAGTTGTACGCTTGGGATAGAGAATATTCAGCCTTGTGTGACTGAAGACCTTGCTGATGTCTTCTCAGTAATGCATTAGCTGAACATAAAAAATTATCTCCAATGTATACAGTGTATTATCTTGCAGGCCCGGCCCCTGACAAATCCCCAGTTCTACTGCTTTTAGTCACAGTGCTGAGTATTTTGTCAGCTCAGTCCAGGCATCACAAGATCGATTTGAATGAAGAAGGCCTTTCGACCATCTGATCTCATCCTCCAGAAACCCTCCCCCATCACAGCATCCGCTGTGCTTTGTACTTCCTGCTGCTTATTATAACCACTTCTGTAGACCATTTCATATGCAGCTCCTATCTGAATTGCACTCTTTTGGGGAGTTTTCTTTTCTAGAAGATTAAAACCACTAAATTGAAAAAGTAGTTTGGAGACAATTAGCAGAATTGAAGAAGAGAGCACTGGGGAATGAATAATTGTTCTGACAAAGCCTGAGAAGAATAATTAGGTGGGAGAAAAGCTGCAAATCGTGAACAGCCAATAAAGTTGCTGATTCCAGCATTGGTCACTCTGTCTGGGGCATTATCACGGTTACCCTATTCTTGCAGTCTTTTGTAATGTGTAAATGATATGTATATATCTTCTATATATACAGGAGACCTGTAGCTCAGTGGTTAGAACACTCGCCTCACAAGCGAGAGACCTGAGTTTGATTCCTGGCAGTGCGAAACCGTGGGCAAGTTTCCTTATTCCACACGCCTGATAATAATCCCTCAAGAAAAAAACAATATTAATATCGGTCACTTCAATCCACACCTGTTTGTGGGACACTGCTGTGCACAATTGGCTGCTGTGTTTTGCCCACTAATATACAGTCAATTCACTTTACAGTATATTCTGTGAAGCACTTTGAGACATCTTGACCACATGAAAAGCGCTATATCAAATGCAAGGATTATTATTATGCATACAAATAAAACAGCAATGTCTGTCTGTGCTTCAAGAAGGATCTCACTAACCGATTGATTTAGTGACATGAATTATACCTCATCGGAAGGGTCTTGGAACTTGGAGTGACATGGGTATATTTGTTTTCGGGTATCTTCATCGTTTCTGGCCACCGAGTCAAAGTAACGCTGTGGCATCGTGCATTACAGAGTACGTATGTACGCATGCATTGCGTTTATAGCTGGGAGCCGTGCTGGCTGACTGGAGCTGTCTCTGTCTTTCCTCCAAAACACACAGTCTCTACATTTTATAATATACTAGCTGGACCTGTTGCAGCTACGCTTGAAACCAAAGGAGCCAATATGGAATATAGATTGCCACACAGACAAACAGACAGACATTTTATCTTATATAAACTAATAAAACGATGTCTGTCTGTCTGTCTGTGTATCTAACAATCACGTAATAACCGATTGATGTAGAGACATGGTTTATATTTCATCGGAAAGGTCTTGAACCCGGCAGTGTCAGGAGCATTTGTTTTGGGGGGGGGTGCGATATGAATGCAAATTGTTCAGAGAGCGAAAACAAGGATGTTTTTATTTTGAAAAGTAGGAGGGTTTCAATATGGAATAGATCACCTTCTAAACTGGTAGAAAAATAATATAAACTGAGTCACAAAGCTTAATGTCCTTTTATGCCAAATGCAAGTAACAGTATGGATCTCGGCGGGACTTTGGAGTCCTGTAGCTCAGTGGTTAGAGCACTCGCCTTGCAAGCGAGACACCTGGGTTCAATTCCAGGCAGGTCAGGACGAAACCTTGGGCAAGTTTCCTTACTCCACACGCCTGATAATAATCCTCCAAAACAAAACAATAATAAATTGGTCATTTTCAATCCAAGGCTGTTTGTGGGACTCTGCTGGGCCCAATTGGCTGCCGCGTTTCGCCCACAAATTCAGTCAATTCACTTTACAGCATATTCTGTGAAGCGCTTTGAGACATCGAGAAGACGTGAAAAGCGCTATATCAAATGCAAGGATTATTATTATTTTGTTATGTCAATGTCAACAAACACTGCAGGCAATGATGCAGTGTGAATTCTTGGGGCACTTGATTTTCACAATATCCATGACAGCATCAAACACTTGCACAGTCAGGCATAAGATCACAAGAGCTGTATATGGAGGCCCATTAGTTCATTTAAAAGCAAAGCGAAAGAAGTAAGAGGTTTTGGTAATTTCACGTTCCACGATGTGACCCTCTAGTGGCAGAGATACCCAACAACACTAGTCTGATTATGCTGTGCTGCTACACAGTAATAGTGATTGGCAGAATTTAGAGAGAAGAATGTTACAATTTGTAAAGACTTTCAAATGTTCTTAGATTAAGGTGTGTGAAGAATATAAATAAGTAGACTCGTTGGATTAAACACTGATTTCATTTTATTTGAATAAGGCGTATTTTAATTGAATAATAATAATTATTTTAATTGAAATTTCAAAACCTGATGTAAATAACAAGACAGGAGAGGGAATGATACTTTGGATTTGCCCAGAAGAGGTTCCCAATAAATACTGTCTGTAATAAGCGAACAATGCAAAAGAACACTCAAATAAAATTTTAACCATAACACAGCCAGTAGAGATAGGAGACAAGCACAACATGTTTACCCTCTGGCTCAGTTAACTAAGGTGAGCAGCAACAGCATTTAATAGTTAGAGGCAAGTGCATTACGATGGGAGTCAGAGACATGCGTATTAAATAGACTGTTTTTTTATTGGGTTGGAGAAAAAGGAATATACATTCATCATTCTCCATCAAAATCAAAATTCCTAATTTTATACTCTGTCCCTTTCATGTCCTTGTTTCTTTTCCTGCTTTATATTGTATTAACAAAATAAAATAAATAATAAAATATTATTAATATTTTCAAAACGTATAATGCTTTTGTTAGTTTCTTGCCAGAAGAGTTATTACATTTGCATTGATTAGGCTTTCACCAGAAAAATTCCAACTTTGTTAAGAGATGCGATGTGTAAAATTGTTGCATTCATAAGTACATATCCGACCGTACTTCATTGCTTGTTGAGGCAAATTTTCTTACGGATAAGATGGATAAGCTCAGAATAATCAAGAGGAAAAACAGCTAAACACAGCTGCTTATTTTTAAAAAGGGGTAGCATTTGATTGGAGATACCCTCCAACCATCTCAGCCCACTTCCACTCACAAAGGGAGGAGCCCACTATGTAATATTGCAAAGTTCAACAGGTATATTAATGCAAAGTTCTCTTCAGTTACTTTAGTGTAAAGCAGATTTAAGATTCAATGAGATATTCGAAAATGGAGATTCAAAGAATGTAGATTCCAAGGACGATTCAAAATTCAAGATTTGGAAGATTCAGGAAAGTTTTCTCCAGAGAAGTATAGACAGATAAAACTCCACTATAACAATTCTGCTGTGAAAGCTAGAAAGTTTGAAGACTCTTGTAGAACTTTATTAAATAAAACAAAAGACTGTTATCCTGATATGAATCTAGTAAAATCATAAACAATGAAGCAAAACAGGACAATGGTGGAAGAGACGGACAAAAGATTGCAGACTGTAAGTAGAACAATGATCTTTCAATTTCAATTTTGTTTCAGAACAGAGCATTAATTCAGATCATAAAGTGGTAAACATTCTTTCTCTGCCTGCTCCAAGTACCCAAATACATTTGTTAAATAGGTTCAATTCAGTTAGTGGTGATACGAGTCTTCACATGCTGTGATTCTCAGTCCACGAAACAAAGCATTATTAGTGTAATTGACTATAAAATTGGAATCTCATAATTTTCCAAATCTTTCATGTAATAAAGAATATCTCAATAAGCCTGAGATGCATGCATAATTGTTGTCTGCATGCGACAGAGAGAGAATTTGACTTTTCACTTGGTCAGTACTATAGTACAAAAGATGAGCAAACAGGAAAGCATGAGACAAGATGCAGGGACACAAGGATGGAGTTTCAGAGAGGGATAGGTGAAGCTGGCAAAATTTGCTGAGCACAAGAACAAGAATCGAACACAAGCGATAGAAGAGGTGGGGTGATGGTAGGCCATGGAGACATTTGAAAGGGAGCAGAAAGGAAACGAGTGAAGCTGAGTGAGGATGGGCTGATGTGCTCACAGAGCCTGCTCCAGGAGATGCCACACGCTGCAGAGTTCTGGATGGTCTGTAACTTGTGTCGGAAGCAGCTGAGGATCTGCGGAGCAGTAGGTTGTTGCAATAGTTGAGTTTGGAAGCGGTGTAAGTGTCTCAGCAGGAGGTGTGGGATGTGGGGAGCAATAGTGCAGGAAGTAAAATTTGAAGCGTTAAGCAGAGAAAGTAGAACTAATGAGAACTTGTATGCCTGCGAGACAGAGAGAGAGAGAGAGTGTTCAATGTGCAGGTCAATGAGGTCAATGACTGAGTTGAGATGGTGTGGATGGGAGCTATGTATAAAAACCTTACCCCAGAAATTTAAAACTCCTCCAAGATTTGATGATGTAACTGAAAACTGACTGGAAAGTTGAAAGGAGAAACAGCAGCATTAACAACTGTTACTTCTATTATGTGTATTTACTAAAATGGCATTAACAAGTGTTACTAAACTGTGTATTTACTGAACCGGACGTTAAAACAGTGTAGGAAGAGATGGTTATACATACAATGTATGTTTGACTGATAACCCAATTGTTCAGCAGTCTTCAGTGCTGGATGTTCCACCACACAGTAAACGTACTGTCCATTCATCTCTCTGGTTGCAGATAGACGAAGTGGGCTTGAGACGTTTACAGTTCCATCAGGAGCAGGACGTGTGGCACTCTGAGTAAAACTGACAATGAAAGGACCTTTCCAATGTATAGAAGCGGCTGGCTTTGCATTTTTTGCTAGACAGGTGGCTATGGTGCTTTCTCCACTGTCAGCCACAGGGATGTCTGGATACGGTTCTATGACAACAGTGGGAGCAACTAAAGAGGAAACAAAAGGGAATAAATAACAAAACAGGCATTAAAATTGATGTGGTACTCTGTGTTGGAATGCTTCACACAATGATTTACAAAGAATGGTAACTTTAGTTGTGTAAATAAATGCAATCGCTAATCTACAGCAGACAAAACCCACTGGCGCATTCCTCTACAAAATATTCAGTCACTACACTTTACAATATATCCAGTGAAGGGCTTTGAGATTCCAGACACAAAAGGAGCTATAAGCAAATGCAAGTATTATTATTCTTATTACAATGAAATTTGGCTTTTTCAGCAAAGTGTCTAAAGCGTGCAGAAACCCATCACCACGCTGGAAAGTATCCAACCACACTGAGAATTCCATATATGTATGCCACCTACACATGGAAATTTTCACGTGTCTGGGCAGAATTCTCACTTTGAGGGTTCCACCTTGCAAGGAAGAAGTGAAGCTGGGAGGTGACAACTCATTCCAGGGCTTTGGATAGGAAGGGCAAGTTGGAGATCGTTCGGAAACTGGAGAGCAGAGAAGGGTCAAGTGACGGTTTCTTCAGGAGGAGGTGATGACAGTGGTTTTGAAAGGCGGGGAGTGCTGTACCAGTGGAGAAGCAGAGTAATGATTGGCTAGCAAAGGTGTGAAGAAGGGAGTTTGGGTGGCCAGAGAGATGTGGCTATATGTTCGAGGAGTGGGTGGTGGCTTCATTCAAAGAATAAGGGAGGACAAAGATGTTGGGAACAGGATCAACAATGTGGAAATGGTTGACTGGAGGCCAGAGGAGGGGGTAGAGGGGCTTATTTTTTCCAGCAATTTGTTGAAGGCTTTTGTAATTATTTACAGACAATTTGCTGATGCTAGTTTCCTAACCATTTTGTGCTCGGGAGATGTAGTTTGCATTCGCCCTTGATGCCAGGACCTCTACTGTTCGGACCGATCAGTATCAAGTGGAGTCCTGTAGTATATTGCTTAGCGCACTCATATCGCAAGTGAGAGGACCTGGGTTTGATTCCCAGGCAAGGTGAAACGTTAGGCAAGTTTCCTTTCTCCACATGCCTCTGTTTACCAAGCAGTAAGTGAGAACCCAGTTGTTAGTCGATTGGTGGATCGCTTTTTCGGGAACAATAATCCCTTAAAAAAAATTGGTTACTCATTCCATGACTGTTTGTGGCACACTGCTGTGCGCAAATGGCGAAAGTGTTTTGCTCAT